TTTCCCTTTCACATGCTCAATCGTTAGCCGGTACTGCTGAACTTCCAGAGCCCATCTAAGTATGCGCGGAGAAACATTAGTTCTCCGAAATATCGCTGTCAGCGGCGCATGATCCGTTCTCGCGATCACTTGCATGCCGTAAATGAAGAAGTGAAACTTCTTCAAAGCGAATACCAAGGCGAGCGCCTCAAGGTCAGTAACATGATAGTTCCGCTCTGCTTTTGTCAGACGCTTTGATGCAAAGTATATTGGATGGAGAAACTCATCCAGTCCTTGCTGGCAAAGCACAGCTCCTACGCCCATTTGCGACGCATCCGTATAGATTATGTAAGGGTTCTTTCCTGACTGAGCCCCTTCGACGTCAGGTTGCGCCAACACCGGAGTGGTTGACAGCACTTCTTTGAGCGTCACGAAAGCTTCATCCTGAGCAGCGTCCCATTTCCACGGTACCTTCGTCCTTGTTAATTCGAACAAGGGACTTGCTATTTTAGAGAAGTTGAGCACGAATTTACGGTAATAGCTGCACATACCGAGAAATGTACGGAGTTCCGCTATGTGGTGGGCTTCGGGAACTCCTTTATCTTCACGACCTTGTCAGGATCTACGTGCACTCCTTTTCCCGTCGATCCTGTGACCAAGAAATGCGACGTTTTCTTGAAGAAGTACGCACTTTTGAGGCTTGAGCCGCAAGTTGGCCTCTAACAACGCGTCCATCACCATTTGTAGCACTTCGTAGTGTCTACTTTCCGACGCAGTAGCAATAAGGATGTCGTCGATATAAACGAAAACTTCCTTATTCTTCAGCTCACGTAGCACCGTGTCCATCAGCCGTTGAAAAACAGCAGGCGACGTGGTTAAACCGAATGGAAGGACTGTAAACTGAAAGAGACCTTCTGAGGTTGTGAAAGCACTCTTTTCCTTTGCTGCGGCTGTTAGAGGAATCTGCCAATATCCCGATGCCATATCAATGCAAACTTTGCAGCATGGTATCAATTCCTGGCAACGGGTAGGCGTCGTGCTTCGTGCATTTATTCAATTGACGATAGTCAATGCATAACCGGAGGGTTCCGTCTTTCTTCCGCACAAGCACTACCGGCGACGCCCACTCAGATGTCGACCGCTCAATGATTCCTCGTTGGAGCAGGCTGCTAAGAATATCCTTGAACTCATCACGAGCACCTATGGGGACAGGTCGCGTCTTTTGCCGAATAGGCTTAGTAGTCCCCGTGTCAATGTCATGAGCTACTAGAGAAGTCTGCGTCAACTCGCTATCCTCCACCGCGAAAACATGGTTCTTGTCCGTCACAATCTGTTGGAGTTGTGGCGATAGCGTCTCTTCCATCTCTGTTTCGGATCAGCAACTTATTCAGGGTCTCCAACCTTTCCCTCTCTGACATAGGTTCACCCTGGTTGCAGAGTAGATCCGTCGGTGCACGTCTACAGCGAGTATCGTTCCCAGTAGGCATTTTCCCATTCGCCTACTTCCTGGCCCTTTTGTATCACCATGGGCTCTTGTGTAGTATTGACGACCGTTACTTTTGCTATGCCATTGGCACTTACTTCGCACAGACCATCAGGGATCCTTCCATCTTTCGTGTGAAGTATTGCCTCCGACCACTGCCTTCTACACGTGAGATCCACATCCTTGGTCTCACCAGGCGCTATGAAGACTCTCCGAGCAACAACAGCTGCAGGACATTCCTCTGACCCTTGCTGTCGCTCCATAGTTCGGTCTTCCTTCTCACAGGAGATCTTCCTGACTTCATATCCCATCCGTGAGATCGCATTCGTTCCGAGAATGATTAGGTCCTCCTCTGATCTGGACACTAACATTCTTACAAGGCTATGTTTGTTATCACTTTTGTCCGCTACATCAATGTCCACCGCGGTCAAAAAGTTCATCACCCTTCCTGAAGCGTCAGTGATCTTCAGCGACTTGGGCACTGGGATCTCCTTGACTACCGCATCGATGTCGATTCCGTCACTCATTGCCTCCTTGAGTACTCTCGACGGCAAAATCGATACTTCTGATCCCGTATCTAACAAAGCCTTTCTGTCTCTGCCAAGAACTTTCACGTCTATTGTCGATCGTTTGCCGACAATTCGCGGAGAAGACTTACCGTGAAGTTGCCCATACTTAGTGCGAACATTACTACACTTCGCTTCACGAACTCGTGCCGATAAAGACATAGGACTTTTCGGTTCTCTAGCCGCTGTGCTCTTGCAGTCGCGTGCCTTGTGACCAGTCCCTTTGCACCGGAAGCATTTCATATTTTGTAGTTCTTTATTCGCTTTACTGTCCTGACTGGCTACGATCTCAGTCTTACAGTTTTCCTCTTTATGTCCTCTATAGGCCTCCTTCGTACTCCTCCTTCGAAAGCGTTTCCAGCCCTCATAGCGGCATCTTTCAGCCTTTCATACATATCGCCACCAGGTCCTTCCAGAGCTTCTTGCAGGTGACAGGACTCATCCCAGTGAGACAACTGATCATATAGATGGTCTGCGCGGATGACTGACAACGTCCTTTCGTCCAGCTCCGGATAAGCTCTACGCGAAAGCCTTTCTAACTCGACACAGAAATCCCCTACTGACTGTGTTTCTGGTTTCTGAGGCGCTTTAATTCACCTAGTGCGATAACCTTTTTATTTCGTGTCTCTTCCTTACACATTTCTTTCATGGCATTAACTAATGTGTGGAAGTCACGTTTTTTAGTTTTAGGCAGCGCTTCATATTGCGCTCTCGCCTTACCCGTTAACTTTGATTTAAACAAAGCGCAGCGTTCTTTATCTTCCCAATATTGTCCAGGGTATTTCAGCTCAAACGCTTCTACAAAGTTTTCAAACGAGTATTCTTTTTCTTTTCCAGAGTATGGTGAAACGTCAGGTAAGGCTACATATCTCAAATACTCTCCCATCTTATCTTGGGTCCTTACACTTGACTTCCTACGGTGTTTCCGTACTTCTCTTTCACTCATACTCTCACTATTTGAAGTATTCAAATAGTCATGACTCATACCTGGATCCTTGCAGTTCCTCCTCGACGAACTGCTGAACCTCTCGCGACGACAGCCCTTCTTTTTCTCCCGCATGCGCCAGCCACTCTGAAAGTGTTCATCAGACTCACTGATATCACTGGCATCATTGACACTACTAATTTCGGGCATTACCCTACCTGGTAATGGATCATGCTGCCCTAAGCGTCCTTCGCGGTCTTGAGAGCCTTCGAGCTCGGCCAGTCGTCGTTTCTGCTTCTCGAGCTCTTCCTTAAGCGCTCGAATCTCTTCGTCCTTTTGGTTGCAAACCTCCTGCAAAGATGATACTGAATTCATTAGAACGGTTTCATTCTTTATCAACCCTTTCACACGACGCTTAACACCTGTTTTATCACAGTTAAGCTTCCTAGCTAACTTATTCAGGGTACATTCGCCTATAACTAGCTGTTCTAGTTTATTGGCCACATCATCTTCGCTGTTCAAGTCCATTTGCTCTTTGACTTTGTCTAAGGTAGCCAGAGCGCAAGTGCGTTTCTCAATGGTTTCCTTCAGACGCTGCAACCTTTTCAAAATGCGCGCCGTGTTCTGTTCTAGCACAGCCTGAATTTGGTCGCGCTTACTATCACCTAGGCGAAAATGTTTCGCAATTTCCGCTCCGACCATCACCCGCAAGCGGTTGACTCTCTCTATCGATTTGAGGCATACCTGCATCTCAATGTC